CTATTTGGCTAATTAAGATTTTGTTGTCTTCAGATTATAAGGTTAGAATTCTACCCTTTCTATGTCTAAAGAAGACAGGTCTCTGATATTAATTCACTTATTATCTGTAAGTAGTAATGAAATGTGTGTACAGACTTTATGTTATTTATCTTAATAAATATTATCCTGTCTACATTTGGGCCTGGCTATTACTCTATTATCAGACTGTGCTGGAGTATAAAAGACAAGGTGCTGTGAAACACTAATTCTTGTCTTTAGGGGGTGACATTATTAATCTTTATTATTTGCTTGCATATCTGAGTAGTTGAGTAACCTCCCTATTTTGTAATTTTATCACCACCCCAATCTGTAACAATAAAATGTAATATAATCAAAGTCTGCATTGTTTTTCTCTTAATTTTACACTTCATAATATATTAAGGCAAATGTAATCTAAAGATAGGCTGTTATCTTTTATAAGGAAATACATTGTGCAACTATAAAAGTGGAATACTATACTGTACTGCAGAGTAAAAGGAAATCGTACTGTACATCCACAAATCTACTGTACCCTCATTTCTAGTTTTACAACTGATAATTATTTTTAGTGACTAAAAACGTCCACAGTTCTTTCCATCCCTTCCCAAATACTTAGTCAAAGGATTGCTCTTGTTTCCAAAGAGCCAACCAGTACATAACAGTGATAACTGGAGTACCAGTTCAGCAGGCTCTTATTTATAAAAGTTTCAAAGTCAGCGCAAAAACTTAGTTTTTTTTTATTTTAGTGTGTTTGAAGCTATATTGAATTAAATATCTGAATTACTTGCCTCCATTTCTTCAGTCATCCAAATACACACACACACATCAGTTGACATCACTCCTTCTAATAAATGTAATACTGTTTTTATATATTAAAGTCTCCATACCCTATTTAAAATCTTCTAAATCCTTTGTAAACACTTTGCAAAAGGATGTGCATGACCGTAACTATTTAGGATGAGTGATATAGAAATTATGACATAATGTAATGTAAAATGATTTCCCACACAACATGATGCTGTCACAGAGGAACATGAGACACATTGTTGCAGCATTGCATAATCTCAGATCTGGTATCATAGATAACATTACAGTAATCATACTATAGAACCTAAAAAAAGATGGCCAGAGAACATTCATTTGTGTCACAACCTCTCCTCACACAGTCAGACAGAATGGTATGCTCTGCAAAACAAAGCAAAGGAAATAAAAAATATGCTTTTACTTATTCTGTCACTATTATCCAAAGCATTACATTTAAAATGATTATTTTTTACTGGGGCAATTCTGGTTACAGTACCTTGATCAAAGGTACTGTACAATCACACTGTCTTACTTGAATAGCAACTATTTCTACAGTGTGGCTTTATTGTCTATGTTCCTTTCACAATTTGTTAAAAATAAGTTAATACAGGAAACTGCTGAAGCAAACTCTCCACTTGCATAAAAGAAACTATTTTAGTGCAATGTTTAATGTTATTTTAGTGCAACAACAAAGCACTGCCATCTTACAAAAGTGCTGTACCTTAGATAATAATGATCCAAACAGGGTCATCCACATCTGACCTCAGATTAGATATATATTTGTAAACCTCTACATTGCCCCATAAACAAGTAGAGATATCTGACCAGTAATCTGCTTCTTATGCCTTCTGCTTGTAATCCACTCTAACCACTGTAATCTGCTTGATTCATCATATCAGTTACACCACTGATGTGCTCAATGCCTGACATGGGAATTTGTTCAAAGTCTTTCCTGAGACTGTACAATACATCAACAAGTATGAACACAAGTGGTTTCTTTGCACTATGCACAATACAGTATGTACTGTACGTTTTTCAAAGTTGTACACTTTTTCAGAAAGGATTTGTCATGACTTGGACAGCAGTATTGCTGGCATAAACGCTGTGCAAAATATTTTGATTTTGATTGAGTTCTGATTTTGCTACTTTTTTAAACATTAAGCAATAGTTAAAAAACAAACACCTGTGGTGAGATACCTTGTGTTACTGGAAAGGAGTCACAGGAAACCACTAACACAAAACAAAACCTCATCACTCACAAAGCCAGCTGCTTCTTATCACCTTTAGTTTACAGACTTAAAGAGGCTCTTTTTGCATCCTTTGTTTTTAATAAAAATGAAAGCATGACATTTTGAAGAGAGAGTTTTCAAAAGCTGCCTTGCTGCGCTTCGGATTGATGGCAAATGTGCCACAAAGTTTGTTTCAATGCAAGAAAGAAATAAGTAGTTTTTAGTCACACCCTTCAAATTCCCCTTTTCCTAATGAAAAAGTAATACTGTATACTGCATGGCTTTATGATACAGATATTGTTCACCCTTTTGCAGGTAGATTTTGTGTTTCCCAAAATTTCCCCAAGGGGTTTTAAGTGACAAAAGTCATATTAATCAGCAACACCGCCAATCTGCTACCCCCTATGATCTGCTTAGTAAAGGGGTTAATTTTTATCTGCTTTGTATTGTGGGGTGGGTGGTTAGGTTTCACTTTGATTTACTGCAGGGATATACTGTAATTGACTAATTCTCTGAGATCCATGGATAATCCCCTACCAGACGAAGAAGCATTGTAAGGTCATTTCGTTTTTCTTATTTATCATATGTATGTTATAATATATTACATATAATAATGGAATGTAATATAAGAGTCACATTCTGATGAGATGTAAAATGTGAAAAGTGTTCAAAATTAGGGATGAGGCCTACCTTGGAACTATTCTTTCATTACACTTCTATGCTATCATTGTCAAATTAGTGCTTATTCATATATACAGTACATATATGTTTTCATGTTTGCAGTGATTCACATACTGTAGATAAGAAAATAAGAATGTATGAACATGATAAAGGTGAACAAATGATAGGAGGCCATTCAGCCTGTCTAGCCCATGTAGTGGCTGGTAGCTAACTGATGCACGGATCTCATCTAGATGTTTTTTGAAAGAAGACAGGGCATGGGCTTCAATCACATGGCTGGTTATCGTGTTCCACTCTCTCACAACACTGAGCATTAATAAAAGCCCCCTGTTCTGAGTTTAAAATGCATGTAATGAGGTTTCCACACAGTGGGGTCATACTAGTGCATTGAACAATTTTTACATAACATTACTCGATTTAAAATGTATGCTTTTAACAGCATTTCATTTGCTTTTATTTTGCTTGCCCACATTGGCTAGAAAATGTACAGTACATATCTTTCAACATAAACACCTGTCTTCTTTTCATTATTAGCCTCTTTAACCTCACTGTTTCCCAGTCTGTATCTATAGCCTAATGTTTTGCTGCCTCCATATCATATCCTAACCTTGTCAATCAAAGTTTATTTATCAAATGCACAACAATACAGCATGCAGCAGTAGTTGCTGGCAAGGAAACGTCTTTTGCTGGCAATGAATTGTCTACATTAAAAGTCACTGTGACAGGCAGCCAACTGAAATCACTGCTGGGAGGAGACAAACGTTTGGTCCTTACGATCAGGACATCTGACAGCTGGGCTCCTCTTATTTAAACGTGTTCCCCTCCAGCAGGTGTGAGCCAGCCAGGGAGAAAGCAGTAACCCTGCTCACCAGGGAGCTGTGGGAGAGAAAGAGTCTGACAAATCTCGACAGTGTGAGAAGAACGAGCCACAGAAGGATTTTCTATTTTTCCTATTGAAAGGAAAAAACTTGTACTGAAGCTCCCTTTGATTTTGAACTTCATGCTGACACTTTTTTACCCAGCCTGTCACAGTTACCTGATAAATGTTTGCCCAAGGTTGAATTTTATGTGAAGATTTTTTCATGTTTTTTTTTTCCATTTGCTGTGTCTACACTGACATTAAACCCGCTTTTGATATTACCAAGTTATTTCCTGCTGGGAGAAGTGGGACATGGTTACCATAAAGAGGTTCTTCTTGCTGGTTCTAGCCCTGTCTTTTCCCCTGAACGTACGTGCCAACACTACTTATCTTCAACTGCACCTTCCTGTGCTCTTTCCTTTGGAAGAAGGGCCGAGGTTTTACAGCGAGTGGCTTGAGCTAAACGGTCATGTTTTAGAAGATGATACCCCTGGATTCTTTCACAAAACAGCAGGAAATGCTCCTCTATTCAGGACAGCAGGCACTTCTTTGCACAAAGTGATGTAAAAGCCTGGAAAATTCCACCCATCCACATTACTGAAACCGATGCCCTAACATCCTTCAAGAAATCGCTGGGTGATCAATTAGCTACTACACACCAACTACTACTAATGAGCTAGATTGGCAAAAGTTAATATTAATAATAATAATAATAATAATAATAATAATAATAATAATAATAATTGCTTACACTTATATAGTGCTTTTCTGGACACTCCACTCCATTATTATTAATATTATTATGTCCAACACCCTGGAACAGGAAACCACACTAAAGAATGTGAGCACTGTCTTACTTTATCAGATCAAAAATGTGCAGTCTTGACATTAGGAAGTGTGACACAATCCCAGATAACAAACAGAACGGACACAACCACAAACTCGAGTAACCTGGCCTTGTAAGTAATCGTACATCTTGATTCAATTGTGCATTTGACGGTACTTGTTTCAGTAATGCTGGCCTCTATACTGAATGTTTATATCACCTGAGGAAGGACTTTTATTTATGTTAATTCTTCATTAAAGCGGTTATTTCACTGTCTCTGCAGTCCAATGGAAAGTCTGTATTCCTGGGGCAGAAGCACAGTTAATCCACCCAATTTCCACACAAATTGCAATTTAAATAGGACTGCATATTGTCTGAATGTCCTGCGGGTCTCACAAGAACAAAAGTGGCATCTCATGTCTGTTAGTGCTCTGACTGGCAGGATGGGTGAACACAGAAGTTTGACATGTGGGTGTCCGCGTGGTGATGGAAGAGTGGCCTGACGTCACTGACACAGACGTAAGCCCCTCCTCTTAAGGACCCACCAGTCCTTCCTCGTTAACTTTTGATTTTCTGCACCTACCTCCAGTTCCAGCCTTCCCTTTAAAAGTCCGACACTCCCACCATTCCGGGCTCAGCTTTGGAAGATGGACGCCAGGAAGCCCGCCAACCAGCGAGTCCAGGAGAGGCTCGAAGGCAAAGGCTTCGGAACGGCGTCCTGACAATCTGTGTCCGGGGCTGGGAGCGCCGGGCCCCGTTAACCCTTTTTATTCTCCCCTGGTCCTTCGCCGGATCCCGCTCCGGCTGTTAACTATGTCTTGTCTTCGTCACGGATGGACCACCCGGCTCTGGACATGTGCCTTACCATGGATTTCCTTACAGACTCCCTGGACACGCCCCCTTGAGCCCCAGCGCACCTTGGACACGCCCCCTGCCCTTCTTCCAGCCCCTATCCAAGTTTTTTTCCCGGTTTTTGTCTCACTCCCCTCCGGATTCTGCCATCTGCATCGGGTCCTGAAAAACACCTCGTGACAGTCACTGGAGCTGCCTGCCTTCAGTCGGGCAGGGTATCCAGTTACCTGCCTCCCATCGCCTGTGGGAGTTCCAGGTCTAGATTTACCCTGGATTTAGAAACCTGTGGAACGTTGAGGAAACACTCTTTGTATTTTCAAAAGTCTAAAAAAGCATTGCATTGCAGTCACAGGCCTAAAACACTTTGCACCCTCGTTTCAAAAAGGAAACTTGAAAAATACATGTAATCTAGTGATACTGCATTCAAGTAAATAATTTCCATGGCAATTCAACTGCTTTCATTAACATATTATTTCATGTGTATAGGACATGTAATTAAAATATGTTGAAGAATCATTTTCAAACAATCTGTCCTTTGTTAAACAGTCATTATAGAAGGATGTATTTCCTCAAAAGAAAGACCAAGTTAAACTGATTGGTAACTTTGATATTAACTTTGATAACTTTGATAAACTGTGATATTATATCTATATCACTAGCCTATTAAGAAAAAAATTAGTATCAATAGCATGTTGATATATCCTTTCAGTCAGTGCTAGCTCATAGAAATCTATCGTGTTTTTTTGCCCTAATAAAAAGTTAAATGAGGGCATGTTTCACCTTGGATGCACAGAATGAATTTCTGCTAGCTAGCTATGGAAGAGACATCAAAGAACAGAGGTCATTGGAGCCTTACAAGAGCCCCCATGCTGAATGCCACCTGTTATTCATGAGTAACATCTTCTCTTGCTTTCCTTTCTTAAAAACACCAAGACAGTGTCATTGAACAGCTTTTGAAAAACAAAAGCACCATAAGACGTTTGATATTAGTCAGGCCAGCTCACCAATCTGGTTGATTTATTCACCTCCATAAAAAAAACTCCCCTCTGACTTTCAACACATCATTCTATTCCTAGCAATCGCAAAGAAGTTCAGAAAGGGTTAAGGCTCTCTCAATTTCCACACACTCATCCCTGTGCAACCCTTGTGATGATAATGATAACAGTAATAATCTTTTCTATCAGTTGTTGATCACTTGTGATTTATGCGGAATAATGATATTCTAAAATGTTTCAGCCTTACAAAATGAGAAATCAAAGCTGATTAATTTATGATAACGGGCATATTTAAAAAAGACATATAAAAATCTGTTGCTAACAGATCCCCATCCCTATCAAAATACAACCAACATAAACAGGACAAGAGGAATGTCAGATGTCAAATGAGACAGCCAGTATTTGGCATACCTACATTTCTTCCTTTTATGTAAGCTTTTGAGAAACTCTTCTAAGGATGATTGTGAGAAGTCATATTTTCAGACAAAGCATTGTATGTAGAAAGTTACCCAGCCATGTTCCAAAAACTCATAAGTGAAACCAACTTCTTTCAAGAATCAGCTGGATGAGACCCTTGAATCAGGTTGCTACAAAAACAAGCGTCCATTTCTTATTTTATCTGGTCTCATATTTGAATGAAAACAGTGAAGCAGAAGACCGGGGGTTTCAAACTGATATTCAAAAACCTAAAACACTCACAAACAATTTCAACGTAAGCTCCCGATAAGAAATTGGAAGAAGGGGACAGTATACTCTGAAGGAAAGTACATAATCAAAAGTGTCATCCTCTTTATTTTATCTAGTGCAGAGTGTCAGACCCAGCTCCAGGAATGAGTGCTGTCCTCTGGTTTCTCTTCCACAAAAGCCCTCAAATAGTGGGTCTAGTTATTCAATTAGCAGCACAACTTTAATATTCCTAATCAAGCTCCAATTAGTTGTATAAGTTACTAATTAAAAGAATGTTTCGTTATTAACTGTAAAATGACCTTGAGAAAAATCCTATGCATAAGAAAATGTTTAGATTATTTGATTGATTATTTGATATGATTATAAAACAAGTAAGAAACTATCAGAAACAGAAAAAGGCAAAAAAAATAACAACAACAGTGAAAACAGATCAGACAGTAAAGCCTAATTTTACTTTTACAGGAAATGGGAATGTGAAATTATTGGAGTTAAAAATTGTGGACTGGAGGTGAAACTAAACATCTTGCTGCATCGCCCTGTCTTTCTGAAGCAAAACACTCAAATTCAGCATTATGCGACTACTCTCGTTCACGTGCATCACTGTCGCTTCCGTCGACAGTCTGTATGCAAAGTACAAGGAAATCCCGAGAGAGAGGAAAAAGGACACGCTTTTAAAAATCTGGATTCAGCTGTTCCAAGGATCACAGCCTTTTCGTGCTCCTTTCCGTGACATTCGGGCTGGAGACACACGATTTCAAGGCTTTGCACTCTGTTTACAGCCGATACAGGTGTAACACATTCTGCGCGTACAGCCCCGTGCCTGAATTAAATTATACGGCTGAAACGTAAGGTGCTCAAGTGTTTATCCGGGGCGGGTGGAGGTTCTCACCAACTATGCAGTGTCTTCCGTTTTCATGAAAGAGTTTACGAATCCTGCCTTTTGTCAGAACGCCGTGACGGGTTTCTGATTTCCTGCCCTCACGCTGGGGCTGACGCTGAACAGTAGTGAAGTTGCAAGAGCACATCGTTCAGCTCATCACTCGGTCCGACAGAATTATAAAGTGCCTTCTGTTTTATACAGAATGCACCGGAAATAGACATGGTTATAATTGGTGCTCTTTCTCGGCTGTTATTGTGTGTGATTAGAGGGACTGGAGTGGGGCTTGAACACATGTAGTGTTGAATCCCAGATACATGTCTTAGGTCAGCTACTGTATTTCTCCACAGTGCAAGCTCCATTGATTTCATTTCGTCAATTACTGTATGTTTTGCATTCTAAAAAAGAACGCTACATACACTGTATACCACTTAACAGCATTTTATTATAATCATATGCATAGCAGGTCATTAATTACTTGGATTTAAGATTATTTGGATGTGATGTAAATACATGTAGAGTACTGTAACTACTGTAAATTAATATACTGTAAACTGTTGAATTCCTGTCATTCAAAGAATCATCCGCTCCAGAGTTCATGTAACCGTGTACTTTTACTGAAGTCAAGACTGCTCTCTTTTGCTGTGGCCTCTTTTCTGCAGCAGGTCAGTGATTATCCGACGCCCTAGTAGGTAAGGAAAGGGGATCGTCGGATTTTCCCGTTAACGTTTTTCTCGAAGCTTGTTTTTGTACAGTCTTTTGTGGTACCGTGAATGTCTTTACTGTGTGAAAGTGTTAAAAGCAAAGCCTGAAGTACACAAAAACACACGAACAGATTACAAGTCTTTGAGTACTGGGGGTGGCGCGTACTCGACCTGGTAGCTCTTTGATCTGCCGGATCAACCGCAGGGCATCGGCTAGAGCTTTTTGGTAACGTGTTGACGACTGACCCACAGAATACTCTAAATGAGTCAGATGAATATTCCTCATAAACATTACAATAGGTGTAAAAATAGGTTTTATTCTGAGAAGTGCGGAATTTCCGAAGCCCGCACTACCACAGCTACAAAAGCCAGTGGAATGCAGAGGGGTACGCCTTCCGCAAAGTGAAGAAAGACATGTCAGAAGTACGATTCGACAATTCATTGTGTTGCTGTGAAACGTAATAAAGGGATTCGCTGTGGTATTTGGTGCGTATTTGGTGCGCTGTGGTATGCTGCGCAGTCTTCCGACCGGCGTGTAATGTCACTGACTACAGATTTTCACGTCGCTAAAAAGTTTAAAACCAACCGCGAGAAAGTCTTGTCACGCCTGTTCTGTGTGTAGCAGGAGCCGTACTTGGTGCAAAAGGAAATGCCCGAATACGGCGTGGCGATGCCTGGAGACAGCTCCCGTCTGTCTCGCAGCATCGAGTAGCGTTGGTAAAAATTCGCTGCTGCTCTTTGAATAACATTTTTATTCAAAGAGAAAAAAAAAATAGCATTCGAACTCTTGTTTGTTTTGCTTCGTCCTTCTCCACATTAAGATGATTATTGTACGCTACTAATTGGCGCACCGGCGCGGTGAATTGGTGTAGTCGAACCTTTTGCAATTTGGTTTTACTGTAGGGTAGTCGTGTGAATGTTTCAAAACACCCTTTTTTAAGTCTGTCTCTTCACACGTCTACTCCCTTGATTTGCAACCGCAGTTCAGGAAATCAAGATGATCTGTTTCTAGGGGCGATATCTCCCTAGCAGCGTGCGGATTTTCTATGGTTCTCGCAGAGTGCTCACAAAGTGCGCTTTGTTTTTACAGAACAGGACAGCTGTGCACCGGGGCGATTCTGTTTTTTGACTTATTTCCGCATTGAGTCATGCTGCATCATAACCTGTCTCGCTCGCAGTTTGACAGCGCATTCCTGAACATCAAAAAAGAATTCAAATCATGAATTGTGTGCGACACTCGTGACTCTGCACAGGAAGGCAGTAACGATAAACTACTGCGTGGTCTATATGGACTACCGAATAATGTTTATTCTGTTTTGTTTTGCTGCTATCCTCATCCAAAGTAGGTATTTTATTTTTTATGCATTTGTAATCTTGCACTTCTCTGTGGTTGGACATGCAACTCATCTCGGCGAGCTGCTCGCTTTCATGGTGCAGGCATTTGAGGCAAAGCTACAACAAAGAAAATCGCTTTCTTATTTAAAGTCGCATATTTAAGACGGAACAAGTAAAGGTTTATTCCGCGTTGAAATTTACTTGTTCCTTTGCAGCCTACGCATGCTGACGCTACCTACTTGAATTTATTAATTTAATTAAGATTGTAGATCGATTTATTTTCTCTAGATTGTTTGGACACAATCTAGATTCTATTAACCTGTTTTTTATTAGCAGTCTGTATTAAAGTATGTTTACTTTGTTGCAGAAAGTACAGTATGTCCAATTTGTACTGCCTGCGCTGTTATTCTAAGTTTCCGATGTTCAAGCAGACGGCATTAAAACAAGTCCGCGGCACTTTGCAAAACCGATAGTTGACCTTTTATAATACGTTTTTTTATTGTGGATTGTTTCGGTTAATTAAAGACTCTTCAGTTTAAAGTTCGCCACAGTTGTTTCGAGAGTCCATGTTGTTCACACTTCATCCGAGGCGCAACACAAGATATCCACTCTGGGAACTCCTAACGGAGAACTCCGTTAGACAACATGAGGACATTCTTCGAAGCGCTTAAGGTATATTGAATTGTACTTGAAGCAATGTGAGGCGAGAGAACGACTGGCCAAATTTTTCCAGTGTCAAAAATTTAAATGAGGTCTGTTAAACGCTACTTCGTGTTAACATCATTTAAGGCTATTTTATACAGGTGCTCTCCGTCGCCGTCGTTCAAAAACCAATGTGCACAGTCAACTTTTAAATAACATAAATCGCACTGTACCTTTAAGAAGAGTGAAAATCTGTTTACCCGTGAAGTCTTTACTTTTATTTTTAGGAGTAGCTAGGGAGGAAATGGTAAGCGTTCACCTTTCGAAAACGTCACACTTCACCGAGCCTGAGAATAATATGTAAAGTCACAATAACGGAGCACGCGTTACAGAACCCGCAGTACAAGCTAGCAGAGCAAGCAGCTACAAATACGCCGTTTTAATTAAGTGATTATGAGGAGCGTTCTCACTTCTTTAAGAAATGCAGCTCGTAAAAAAAGGCCGGCTTACCTGACTGGCAAGATCATACAGTTGTAAGGCACGACTTATATCGCAAGCGGTTATTGTTGTTATAAATTAGGACCTTGTAATTTGCTGCCCTCGCGTGACCCGTCTGGGCACAGCTACAGTGTGCATTTTTCTCCGTGTAAGCTTTTTTTTTTTACACGACCACATTCTTCTTTAAAAATAAAGATCTCAGGAGTTTTATAAGTATATTGTCGCAGTCCGCATCCCCCCGGCGTCGAACCGTCCCAACGATCAGTCCCTTTTTCACGCCAGCTTCGCCCTGGCCTCGCCGTTGCAAACCGAAGAGCGATCCCGGCGCGCTCTTTCCCTCTTTCCCCTCTGCGTGCAGAGGACGCTTCCTTTCTCTCTGCCTTCCTGGGGTTTCCTGCTCCGTGACCAGCGCGCCCCACGGGCACGAACAGGGCAATAAAACCGTCAGAGAGCTTGCGGGCGGTCGGATGCCACCGCCGGCCGAAAAGGCGCCGTTCGCTGCAATAGTTTTCGAAGGGGGCAGCCCCTACTGTTACCAGAGAACGATTTTACATTTTAAAATTGAAGTGCATACCGTAGGAACATCAAGGTTACAAACAGCAGCCAGTTTGGGCCCTCTATATTTGACACGTTGCTAGTGGCTATTTGACCCATATCTTGAAACAACAGTGTACCATCTTCCACACCATGGCTGTCCTATACTCCCACCATCCTTTTTACAAAGAATTTGTCCCCTGTTCTCGGCTTTAAAAGCACTCTCATGTGTCTTCCACTTGTGTCTCTGCCTCACCTTTTACTCATTGAAAAAGGTACCATGTTTATATATAGTAACGACTTGAACATAACAGGATTTGAGAAAGGTTACACATTGAAGACGGTGAGGCCTTTTCAACATTTCTTCTAGAAGTTCTTTGTTTCCCCCAGAGCCAGTAGTGCGCCCACAGACCAGCACAAGATAGCAGAACTTCATACTTGCCCTTGTTATCACACTAACACTCCAAATACATCACTGTCTGACTAGAGAAAGAACACAAGGACAGAAAAGCACCCACAAGGGATGCATACCCAAAAATAAATGAGGTCCATAGTCACCATAACCCGAAATGTACTGTATCTCCCGGAAAGGAAAATGCAGTAGCTTTCCACCACACTGGAGGAAGAGATGAAACCCTGCCTATTCCTTCAGGTCTACCGCTCCCAAACAGTACGTCCCATTGTGCTCCATCCACCTGTTCCCTCTGCAGCAGATACAGGCTAGGAGAGGGGGAGAAGGTTTCTGGGGTCTTCTGCTGCTTTTTCTTTGAGTCCTTTTTCTTTGAGTCCAGTGGTGCAATGTCCATGTCTCAAATCCTTTATTTTTCCAGTCCTCTACTGGGGAAAATTTGTATGGACACACAGCACTCCTGTACAGTTCAATAGAATGCAAACAAAAAAAAAAGAAGAAAAGAAAAACATTGCACATCACTCTATTGCACATGTACAGTATAACACATAGCAACATGTAACATTTATAACACATCACAAAACATACAGTATTGCACTCAAGTGGGTTGTAAGAGTCAAAATTGTGTTTATCCTTGACATTTGCATTGACAGCTTTAATGGATAGTGGAACAAAAGAAGGTTTGTATCTGACTTACATTTGGGAACCCTAAAACGTTTGCCAGAAGGAAGAAGTTGGTATTCAGAGTTGAGGTTGTGGGAGGGATCTGATATAATTTTTCCTGCCTGTTTGATTAGGGATTTTTCGAAGATTGTCTGCAGGGAGGGGTGCTGTTTCACTCCCTTGACCTTCAGAGCTGTCTGGATGAGGCGGGTAATTTGTGATTTTAAATGAACTGATAGATTACCAAACCACACTGTAATCCCATATACATAATGCTCTCAATTACAGCACGGTAAAAGAGTAGCATTGCTTCCTGTCGAACCCCAAACACTCTTAGCCTTCGCAGGAAATATAAGCTCTGCTGAACTTTGGAGCAAACACTCTCAACACTCTCACTGTCTATGTGTACTCCTAAGTACTTATAAGAATCAACCTGAGTGATAAGTTTGTTGTGGATTACTACAGGATTACTACCTCCATGCATTAAGCCAAGCACAGCTGTATCATCTGAGAATTTGAAAATGGAGTTGCTTTGACTACTGCTTGTACAATCATTTTTATAAAGTGTGAACAGAACTGGAGAGCTCACACAGCCCCGAGGGGCACCTGTGCTAATAGATCGTGACTCGGAAAGAGTTTTGTTGACCCTGACATACTGTGTACGATGTGTTAAAAATGAATGGTACCATCTGATAATGTTATGGTTAACAGACACTTGCTTCAACTTGCTTATCAATAGACGAGGCTGCAGTGTATTAAATGCAGAGCTGAAGTCCACAAGCAGCATCCGAGCATGGGCATTGGGGTCCTCTAGGTGTTTTAGAACGAGATGCATAATGCTGTTAATTGCATCTTTGTTCTGGTTTTCTGGTGATCGCTAGGGCTGGGGGGTATCAAGTGCAAGGCGCTGACAGTGTGCAGTTGAGCTGGGGCCTTCTCCCTGTCCTCGGGGCCCAGCCTGTCTCACACGTCACCATCAACTGCGTGGTAACTGAATGGCGTCCAAGGCAAATGGTGTGTCAATGCCCAGCTGTCCCCAGAAAGGCCTGGAGAACCTGATTAAAAGAGAAGGGAAGCAGACGTAAGGAAAGAGAAGCACACCAAATCTGGCCGTTACACAGTATGTGTACTCTAAAGGAACAAGTAATAGGTTTATTCCATGCTGAAAAAAAGAAGAAAGAGAACACAACGTTTCGGCCGTGGAGCCTTCTTCAGGTGTGAGAGAGACAGGGCAGTAGGCAAAGGTAAAGTAGCGGGAGAACAAAGGTTGGGAGGGAGGAGGAGTGAGAGGTGGGAGCAGGGGACAGAAAGAGAGGCCAATCAAGAGGTGTGAAGTCAGAATGGGTGCAGAGAGGTGTGAAATGAAACTTCCAATGAATGGAGAAAATTTAAAAGAACAGTAATCTGTCGTTAAGGGAAGGGAGAATGTGTGATCCTAGCTGCAGAATAATTTTAGTTTCGGTGGTCTTTCTGATGTATGAGTTCGGAAAACTGTCTTTGAGAACACAGACGGAGAGATTAGAGTGGTCGTGGCCGTCAGAGGTGAAATGAGAAACAATGGGCTTGGAGAGATCTTTAATCTTCACAGCCCTGACGTGTTCTCTGAAGCGGTCTCCGAGTCTCCTTCCTGTTTCTCCAATGTAGATGGCTGGGCATTTACTGCAAGAGATACAGTAAATAAGGTTGCTGGAGGTACAAGATGCTGTCTGGGTGATCCGGAATTGTCCTGAGGGGCCTTGAATGAGTGTGGTGGTGGCTGTGTACTTGCAGGTGATACAGCGAGCTCTGTTGCAAGGGAAAGTGCCTGGTGTGGATGGTTGTCGAGGGCGGTCAAGGGAGCTGTGAACAAGGAGGTTACGCAGATTATGTATACTCTAAGTCAATCTAGCCCTCAAGCGACTGCCCTACCCACAGTGGTTGTGACAGAAACAGTTTAATATATGGAGTAGGATAGACCATGGAATTTGTTCATGTGTTTTTCTGTCTTGACAGGTACAAATGAGCAACTTGAGACAGCTCAGGAGCTGCAGGGAACCCTGGGAGGTTCGATTTCAATGCCTGCCCTTCTGGACGAGGACGAGCTCGCGGGATTAATAGAATGGAATTACATAGGCAGGGATGGACAAAAAGCCCCCATTGTGACATTGTACACTACTTCTCCAAACGAACCCTTGATGTATGGCAACTACAGCAAGCGCACGTCAGCCTTTCTGAACGGCTCCATCATACTCAGAAACCTGGAGATGAGTGACGAAGGAATTTATGAAAGACTGACTACGGGTAAACGAAGCACCAGCGAATACTTTCGGCTGAACATGACAGGTAACAACACAATGAAAAAAGAAGAGGTTTCAGCCGTGATGAACAGAATTATTTTCGGAACGTAAAATATCAGATGTATTTCTATGAATACATTTTCTAGAAAGCTTCATTTACCACGTGTTTGTGACATGATGCATGGTAGACTTTTATAATATAAAAAGCAATAATGAGACACATTGGTAATACGCAACAGAGCACAATATTTCACCATTTCAGACTCAGAGTGCCAGACTCTTTATTCGCTGATTTTGTTTCTCACCCTATTTATTTGCTAAAATGATTTTAAATCTGTTGCGTGCTGTATGCACAATCTCTTTACGATTAGGAACAAATACAGTATGTTTCAATGCTGGCTCAACCATGGACTGCAGGTCATTTGTTTGACTACACTACCACTTTTTAATATAATCATATTTGAAGAACAGAGAGAAACCATTTATGTTTAGTCATATTTTTCATATTTTTGTATGATTTCAGAAACAATGATCATGTGTCCTTCAGTTCTTCTAAAGGAATTATTTTGCAACTGCCTTTTCATTTATATGGTTTGTGCATTTTACAGTTATTTAACACAATAACCCCCGATATTGCTTGCATGGTTCGGCATGAGTTAAAGTTACTTCAGCCATGAAGTGCAGTCAGATATACAGGCACAGGCAGTGTGTCTAAATCAGACCTGCAAGCTTCACACTCTGTTCAGAAGATGACAGTGTTACCTGGCTGTTTCACTGTTTTAGGTCATCTTCCTGGCCCTTCGTCAATCTCAAACAATATTTCGGGGCATTACTGTAATAACACTGATGATCTGGTACGGAAAAATCTCATGTGTGAAACATACAAGTGCCTCGAGCCCACTTACAAGTCCGGGAATAATTTCCAGGGCGGAGAAGCAGAATTCAGTGAGATCAGTAAGTATTTCCTAACGTCTTTTTGATGTTTTTTTAGGACTTCATTTTCATCCTTGTTTTCATTTCAGAAAAATTTTTTTTTCTGTCTGCTTTACAATACCTGCATAACAGAGAGTCGATGCTCAACCTGTCTGTAGTAATTATTATGACTACCGCTATTGTAATACAGTTATTGGGTTATTTATTGAGACACGAAACATGAATTATTCAATTCTGCAGCTTGTGCGTTAATGAAAACTTCTCTGCCTCAGTGTCTAACTTCTTTCCTGTGCAAGTTGACTTGGCTCCTCGTGAATTTTAGGCTGGATTTTAAGCTTCTCCTACTAGCAGATAAGGCACTGAGCAGTCTAGCTCCACATTGCCTTTCGACCTTTTTCCATGAGAACAGACCTGCTGGTTCAGGCCGTCTTAATGTGCTGCAGACAAGTCTCCACACAGTGGCCAACAGCACCTTCCCTTATGCCACAACGATTCTGTAGAATTCATTGCCCAAATCCATTATAGACTCTGCGATTGTTATAAAACTTTCATAAAAGCTCATTTTTTCAACTGAAACGGCTTTGTTTGTTCAGTTTGATTTTTTATTCCTCCACTGTTGTATACACGCGCAATTGTACAGCTCTTGCACTGTTCAGTTGTTCTCCTGATGTGGTTTGGGTTCTCAGGTGTCTGACCCCCCGATACGCTACCATCTAGGGGAGACCTGTCACAGGATCCTCACTCATTCAGGTGGAAGAATCCGGTGAATGTGCCCACTCAGGGAGGGCCACGGAAAAGTGCTTAGGAGCCGGCCAGGGCTCTGAAGGAAAGTCCCTGGAGGGACTCTGGAGGGGGGGATTGTAATGTCTTCCAAGTCAGCTGAATGCTATCCATGATCCAGTGTGCTGGACGATGCTGAAGGAGTTGTCTCTGAGGGTGACGAATAGGGAGTCACAGGGGCTAGGCGGCCCTTGAACTGGGGATTGAACCTGTTTTCTCCTCACTGGGCAGTTGTGGCTGGGTCTGTTTAAGAGGACGTCGGGGGTGAATAACTATAATAAGAATAATAGTTCCTTACACTTATACAGTATAGCGCTTTTCTGGACACTCCACTCAAAGCGCTTTACAGGTAATGGGGACTCCCCTCCACTACCAATGTGCAGGATCCACCTGGATGATAACTGTGGGTGATAGCTCTGGTGAGTGTGGGTGATCCACCCAATAACTGTGGGTGATAACTCTAGTGAGGAGGACAGCAGCCTCCGACATGCATACAGTAGACAACTTTACAAAATGATCAGGGGTGATCGTCTGCAGATGTTTCCACATTAAGAAAGCATTTTTAATGCCTGCTCCTTCACCTAGCATCTTAACACAACAAAAATAAAATATTTCATTTTCTTAATGAAAGGCTGGTTTTCTGAATTTTTACTGTAATTTACACATTTGTGAAACATACTGTGTGGCTCCTGTTAGATTTACTCGTTGGTGTGGCTGTACTGCGATCTGCACGGACACTTTTTCAGACCAAATGGCAGCTGCGTATGATGAACTAATAAGTTGTGAAAAAATAAATGATAAGAACATAAAGACGGTTACGGCACGGTTACAAATAAAGGGAGGTCATTTGGCAATAACTGACCCAAGGATCTCATCCAGCCATTTATTTTTAAGAAACCATGGTATCGGCATCAACAACAGTTTTGAATTCACTTCTGCCTCGTTTCCACTTATGTCCTGTGGTTTGTGTTTCACTGTTGACTTTGTCAGTGCCAAATCAAGAGAGAGAGAAGATCACTTTATTAGCCATATAGAATTTCTTGCATTAGGAATTTGTCTTTTCGCATACCCCAACTTGCTCTCCTGAGCAGAAGTTAGGGGTCAGAGCACAGGGTCAGCCTTTTATACAGCACCCCTGGAGCAGCTGGGGTGAAGGGCCTTGCTCAGGGGCCCAGCGGAGTAGGATTCCTCTGCTGGCCGCAGGATTTAAACCAGCAACCTTCCAGCCACAGGCGCAGATCCTTAGCCACAGAGCCACCGCTCCGTCCTAGCTGCATGTACTGTATTTAACTAACAGTCATATAAGTTGACTACAGTATGGAGTTCGAGTAGGTAGCTGCGTCAGCATGTGTAGGCTGCAAAGGAAGAAGGAAAAGTTTATTCGATGCTGAAAAGAGAAGAAAAGAAACACAACATTTTGGCTGTGGAGCCTTCTGCGGGTGTACAGCAATTTTCAATTTTCACAGATTAATCTTTCCGACAACAACATCAAAGAAGCTAAGGAATTGTTATAGCTAACAGCTCCACATCATCTTCCCTTTATAACTAACCCCATCAGATCCCTCAACTCCAGACTTTACCCCTTCCTCACTGCAGAGAAGGATAAAAAACGAAATCATCTTTTACAGAAAAAAAAAACGTCAACACTCCCACTACCTCCACTAATCCTTATCTCGCACCCAAAGAAGGCTCCACGGCCGAAACATTGTGTTTCTTTTCTTCTCTTTTCAGCAGGGAAAGTAAACGTGTGTTCACTCCAGCTGTAATAAGAATATTCTTGAGCACCTGGCGCTGGTGACTATGGTGATGTGGACCCTGCTGCTGTTAGGTGCTTTTTGGACAGTGGTGTCCTGAGGAGGTGGTAAGACGCAGAGCCCTGCACCTGGTGATGACTGGAGGGCGGCTGGTGGGTTTTCTAAAGCTAGCTGTGGCTGCAGGGGTGGTCAATGAGAAACACATGACACTGGCAGTGGGCTTTGGGATTCCGGGTTGCAGGGGGGCAAATGTCATGAAGGCCTCTTCCTACACAGTCTCCTACACCGTCGTCTTGGGTCTCGCGTCCTAGAGAGCAGAGAGATGACTGCAGGCAGCGTGTCGCACCATGCCTTCTCGGAAATCATGACAAAAAAAAATACTTCTAGCATTTGAAGCTGTGGGAATAGTGTGAAAAATAAAGGGAGAAAATGAGTCAGGCCATCCAACCAGCCGGGCAGAGGCGATGAAATCTAGCTCTAAGTAGGATTAGGTTGCGACTGTGCCAATACTCCATATCTCCCTGTAACTCAACTTGCAGCTCACTGAACCTCAGCAGGTGTGATCCTGGGGAAAACTAAGGTTGCTGCTGGAAGAGGTGTTAGTGGGGCCAGCAGGGGGCGCTCACCCTGCGGTCCATGTGGCTCCTAATGCTCCAGTATAGTGAAGGGGACACTATACTGTAAACAGGCGCCGTCCTACGGATGAGATGTAAAACCGAGGTCCTGACTCTCGGTGGTCATTAAAAATCCAAGGGCATTTCTCGAAAAGAGTAGGAGTGTTACCCCCAGCGTCCTGGCCAAATTTCCAGCTGGCCTTTACCAATCATGGCCTCCTAATAACCCCCATCTATGAATTGGCTTCATCATGTTCTCCTCCCCACTGAGAGCTGCCGTGTGGTGAGTGTACTGTGAGTATAGTATGGGCTGCTGTCACATCATCCAGGTGGGGCTGCACAGTGGTGGTGGTGGAGGGGAGAAACCATTACCTGTAAAGCGCTTTGAGTGGAGTGTCTAGAAAAGCGCTATATAAATTTAAAGAGTTATAAGGAAAGTACAATAAGAATGCAGATCCAAAGGTGAGTCTCATTAGCGCCAAGCTGTCCTGTCATCCCACCATCAGGAGGAGAAAAAGCCTCTAGATGACTTGGCTGGGTCCTCTTTGTATCTGGTAATTAGGTACAAGGTCTCGGTATGACCTCAGTGACAAGACACTTTCCCATCGGTCACAACAAGGGAACTTTTGGGTTCACTAGCTCTGATAGATTCAGAGGGTATTTACCTAAAAATTGATTGAATGCTCTATAGCATCATAAAATAAAACTGATGACAACTTGTTTAATAATGAATTAACCATGTTTTTGTGTGCTGTATGATGAATACGTTTTTGAAAATTTTAATTGAACTCAATTTTAATTTTATTGCAGTTAGAGATGCTTTCCTTTTTGAATTGGAAGAAAACATGTTACAGTTTAAAGACAGGAACGAAACCAGTTTCAGTATTTTCCATATCGTTTTGTATGTGTTTCGAAGTTTGTGTGTATGTTGTCAATATTTTCTTTTTTTTCAGATATACATATGGCCTGGAAAGTCGGCTTTCCTCTGTGTGCTGCGTTTTTGTTTGTTCTCCTCTCATTTCTGTCCTGGGTTGCGCTGTATTGCAGATCTGAATGGCAAAGTAAGCAGTACTCGTTTGTGGAAGCACATTTAAAACTGAGCACAGGAGGTGCTTCTTTACCCAAAGAGCTGCGGGAGTGTGGAACGAGCTACCCAGCCATGTTGATGAGGCCATTAGCCTGGCTTCCTTCAAGAAACATCTGGATGATATCTTGGGATCAATTAGTCTCTAGCTACCAAATGGGCTGAATGGTCCCCTCATGTTTGTAAACAGTCTCATGCTCTTGTGTTTTTTATTGGTCTGGATCAGTGTAGTAAATCAGCAAAACATAAATGAATTAACTTAATATTGCCATCATTCCTGTAAAGACACAGATAACATGCAAGAAATATCCTGCAGCTTTATGTATAGTAACTTTTATTTTTATTTTTTTCAGTTTTACATGTTTTTCTTGCTACCACAGATGTTGTGTCCCCGATATTAACTATTATTGGAGTAGGCTTCTGGATAACTGAAGGTAATACCTTGGTTACACCACTTTACTGGGAATGAATATTTATAGCATAAGGTAGCTTAAATTAAATTTATATTTTGAGTCATATACACTTACACTGAGAGGTGGGAATGAGGTAGATTTCTTAATGTTTTATGATATTTGTAGTCAGTAATAGCTTTAACTCATTTTTTAAAGAAAAAAACCTAGTGCAATTTATAATGACAATACTGAGAAAAAAATCAATTTTTATACAAACCACACCTCCATGTAGGTGAACTCTGTCTGCAGACTAAGGGTAAAGACACTAATGTAGGAAGCAGGAAAATCTGTATTGCAAATACTGCCTTATAAAAACACTTAAGCGCATGTTAAAAGTCAGCTGACATCACTGTCCAACTGAATACAAAATTCGGGAAGTATATGTGTGGAATGTGGCTGGAGGATAAGTGTGTGGTGTGTTTTAACGATCTTTATCTTTTCTTCCACAGTAACTTCAGATGGTTCTCTGGCTTGTCTCTCAGTTATATTGGCAGCAGTTGCTCTCAGCCTGCTGATAAATCTGAGACATATCAAATCGGGTATGTCTGATGCATTTCATGAAAGCGATTCACATGAAAAACAGCATGGAAAATAAGAAAATCTGAACCTTGTTTTGAATTGGGGAGCTATACAGCAGTAATATAGAACATTAAAGTAAAGGTAGTAATTATGAATTCACTTGGCAGGTGGTTTTAACCACAGATCACAATGACCTAATGTGGTGGTACCCCTGTATACAGCCTGGTACCATTCACACACTCTGATGAAGTGATGTCATTGCTTGTGGGATTTGAGCCCATTATTCTCTCGTCAAGAGTCTACTGCCTTAATCTCTGCTCTTCATTGCCACCTGAAGGTGGAAGCAAGCTACTGTCTCCCTGGAAGGACATTGGAAACATATTTGTCGTAGTAGCCATCCACAGTGCTGCTACAAATATTGTAGTAGCAGCAGTCCACTGTGCTACTACTAATATTTTAATTATTCTTCATTTTCTGATTCATTTGCTGTTTAAATTTCTTGCTCATCCTTCTAATAAGCATAAATCATTCGTAAAAAAACACTGTAGACACACAACACATTTTCACCCATAATCATGTCTGAATAACTTGTTTGAATATGCTGTAATGAGAGGCTGTGATATACCTGTAGAAAATAGCTCTTGCTTGTGTAATGTTGTAAAGTGTAATGTTCTTGCACAAGTACCCTGAGAGTGTGCAAATCCTACATTTGTCTTGTCTGTCAGTTTGGGTGAATGGAAGACAAAATAATACTCATCTCTACGTGGTTTGGGTCATTCCATTTAATAGCAGTCTTTCTATGTAACGTCGGATGAATTGAATCTGAAGATTGACTGGATATGTGCACTGACAATGCCAGTCTATGTCTGGCAGTTTGCAGGGTTCTGTGCAAGCGAAGGGTAGACACGCTAGGGACTCATCACTTAGACGGGTTACCTGACTTGAGTTCAATATGGGGCCCAGACTCACTCTGTCTTTATGTTTGTAGAGTCAACAATGATCACAGCTAGACCCAGCCCTGATCTTGAGGAGCCGTGATCCCACAGGTCTTATAGGTCACTCTTAACCCATCAGTTTGTGAAGAGTTAGAACGCCTGTCGGTTGTGTTTTGGTCAGTTCATCGGGTCAGTAAAGTCAGGAATGGCCAGCTTTGGCCTTTTAAATGCCGCACGGTGGATTTCATGTACTATGAGAGCTGAACTCCTGTGTGTTTGAACACTTCACTGCCCCAACCCTACCCTCAGCAGCTCCACCACTTAGGCAATCCCAGTCAGCTGGAGATGTGTCCATGGGTCAAACCCGCAACTCCTGGATCACAATGCTCAACCTGCACGTGCTGGCACCCATACCAGTGGAGCCACTTGGGAGGCTTTCTGATGCTACAGTGTATCTTCTTTCACTCAGACTTCAACAAGCCACCTTAATGAATGACCTCTTTGCGAATGTACTGTGTGATCACTGGGGTAAATAGGAAGTTAGGCAAGGAAGGAACCAAAACTGAATAAAAAAAAGAAGAGGAAATATTAATTTGCTGCTCTATGTAAACAGAAGGGTATACAAACTGAATTTTCTCAGCATCACTGGCATGGGAACTGCTGCACAAAACAGGAAGCCGTGCCATTTCATGTGACTGTCCTTGTAACTTTGCGTCTAACTCTTGATTTTATTTATTTTAACCACACAGGGTCAAGTGCATGGTGTTGCAAGCCACATTATTGCTATATCCTGAGGGTGTTACACTATCTCTCCACAGCTTCTGGGTTTATCTTTTTTCACTTGAACAGTAAGTAACAGAACTGTCTGTCTGCATTTTATGAACATATACGATTATAACACAGGTTTATGTGCACAATGTGTGGTTACGCTCACCTTCTGCTACAGGAGTTATTCCATAAGGTAAACAACTTGTTCAAATCTTTTAGGATGGTGTGCTTAGGAAACTGAAGGAGTTTTCATTTCAGGATGCTGTGGTATCTGTATTTTCCCTTTCTTAGCACAGCGTCCACTCTTTAGCTGATCCATCTCTATGCTTCTTAGACTGACTGTGGAAGTCTTGTTTCTAATATTCAGCAGCTCCTCTATGAGAAAAGATATGCTTGATTAACTTAAATCTGCCCTGCAATCTCAGTAGTTTCAAATGCTGGTCTTGTTTTAGGGCTGTCTGTGTGCTGTCCTTTGCCGCCTTTGTGTTTGAGTGGTAATTCCTGGAAAATGCTGCATTGTTTCTTCATCCTTTGTAAGAAATGTTCAGTTTCTTTGCTGTGGGCATTATCACAGAGATGGTTCCAGAATTCGTACATGGATTCCCTTGACATGTCTTTGATGTTATTCAGCATTGGTTTGGGGTTTAAATTAATGCAATGCAACACCAATTAATAAATTGATTTCTTAAGACGTAATTTACTAGTTTGATAATTTTCTACTTTTTGTACAGAAATTAAAACAGTAGATAGTGTTATAAACACTGCTACAGAGATTTTACTACAGCTATTTAGAATTACTTTGCCTTCTTGTGAATATAAAATAACTTGAGGATACAGTGACAGCATTGCAGTGCATCCTATATATTTGTGTATATATTGACATATTGCATTGAAATATATACACGTGTGCTCAATTTGATTTATTCTTACAGATGAAAAATGCTGGAAATCTCTGAAAGACATTTACATCTACTCCTGTGTGCTACCAATGTCACTATTCATGCATTTTCTCATAATCTGGATCTTGAAAAGTAAGTAATCTATATACTTTGAGTTTTAGCAGAGCAGAAATGAGAAAGAAATCTCTTAACAAAGATCAACTAATTTTTTACAAAACAGGTGAACTGTGGAACTGTTAATTGTAGCCCCCACTGTCCAAAATTGTCAAAAAGAGACAACTGAATTTATTTAAATAAGAATGTACAATTGCCATGGGAGATTTTAGTTAGACATTCAATTGGTTCAAAATTAAAATGTTGTTGTAGAAAGGTGACTTCAGATGAAGGTTATAAACAATAGCACAGAAGCATTGGAGAACTTTGGAGAACTTCAGATTTACACCAAAGATTGGACCTGTAAGTGGTTTTTTTTTATAATTTTGGATTAAACATAGTAAAGCGCATTTCACTACTTGTTTGAGGGCTGCTTTGTCTTTTTAGAGGAAAAAGAAATGTGGTAGAAATGCTCAGGAAATTACTCACTTTATAGGAATTAAACCTGGAAAATCAGTGCATTCCAGAAGAAGAATCCATTCATCCATTAAATCTGTATCTGCGATGTCTTCATATGCAGCCCCAGCTTCCTCACACTTAATCTGTCTACGTAGTCCTCTCTCTTGCTTGAATCATATTGCCAAATATATTATGTGCATAATAAATATAGAACTAAGTATAGAATATAAGTCTGCAAACGAGAGGAATCTGTAAGGTGCTCTTTAGCAGTTAAGTGAATCTAAAATTTCAGAAATTGCCAAAGAAGCCGAGAATTCAGGCTTCAACCTGTCTGTCCCAGGCATCGACTGCTGTTTGCGTAGAGAA